AGACATGTCAAGTTATGAAACTTGTTCATCAAGAAACCCAAAAATGCAAATTAGGGTTTAAAATGGAAAATTTTCATAACTTAGAATTTTTCTAAGTTATAAATTTTTTTTATTTTTTCCTAACTTTGTCCCATTTTTTCACCAAGATGCAAATGGATTAAAACAAAACTTGCAACATAAATGTTGTAGTACATCACAAAGTATACAAATTTGATTCACGAAATTTTCTCAAAAGAGGCTTGTATCTCAAGTTATGATTTTTGGAACAAGGGTACCTAAAACTTTTAACTTAGAGAAATTTTGCCCTAGTTTAGGCAGGGTTTTGACCCATCTTCTTGGCCATTTTTCACATAGTTCCACTTGGAGTTTCAATTTGCATTTCAAATATGGAGTATAGTACATGTTTCAAGCTTTCCAAATTGTCCAAAAACTTCTAAAACACATTTGTGGTTAGGGAGAATCGAATGCTTAAAGTTGGCAAAAACTCACTTTGTATCCATGGCCAATACATGTTCTTACAACTTGCATTTTCAAACCAGCATGCTTTGTACTAGCTTGCAGGCCTCTAAACCATTTTAAACTCCTTAATTGAATGCAAATCCACTGAGCTAATTCATTATCTTGGTCATTTGGGCATTGTACACAAAACTAATCCCTATTTGGAAAAAGGTACATTGCCATTTTTGAAAAGTTATACTTTATGTCAAACCAAGATCTTTGAGGCATGGGGCCATATCTCTGAGGCAAGATCAAATCCACAAATTGCAAGTATCAAGGGCAAAGTATGCAGCATACAAGATAGAGGTTACAGGCCTGTAATCACAAGTTACACTTTCTTGCTTCACAAAGAAGAAATTTGTCCAAATCTTGCCAACTTGAAAACCAGTCCATGATAGCTTAAACAAACATTGCAAACACATTACACACAACCCTTTGAGCCATAAAAACGAGCCCTTGACCCCTCAAACCTCCTTGTACACAAAATCACCATTTTTCTGCAAAACAGGGCAAGCCCTGCAGAATCACCTCCATCTCCACTTTGCCTCGTGCGTTTGGCCTCAAACTTGCTCCAATACCTTCCATTCAACTCACCTGAACTATTCCAGACCTCCATTGCCAACTGTAACTCCATTAACACACATTGCCATTTTTGTTTGGAAGCTTTGCAGGTTGAGTTCTGTAGCACGATTCAGGCTACTTGAAAATAAACTAAGCATTGGGAAAGCTTCAGTGGACATCAGGCAAGCTCAAAAGAACCTCAAGCACCCTTGGAAGTTGCTGCATCGTCCAACTCGAAGTCAACTGAAATAGGTATTTCATCAACTTCTATCTCTCTATTTAGGAATAGTTAGACTTAGGTTTGTGAATGAAAGATGTTATATTCATAGCCCTGAAACCATACATGTGCTTAGTTTTCATTTATATTAATCGTGCTAGGAGAATTTCATCCATGAACTTTCTGAAAAAACTAGGTTAGAAATTAGGGCCAGAGAAATTCTCTCTGGTCTTTGAGAGTTAGCTAAAGTTTTTTATATGGTTAGATTCGTTGTTTGATTCTCTACAAGTTTCATGTTATGAGTTTTGTCAAAAAAGCACAGAATCATGAGATAGCATTTTGTGGAAAACGCGCGTTTTTGTTTGAACTGAGGAAGAAGACAAAGTTGATTGGGCTGGGCCTGGTTGTTTTTGCTTCTAACACTTGCCTTTTCAGTTCACACCCCCCTGGCCCATTTCTTTGTATATTTGTCATTTTTGCATTTTTATTTTAATTCTGACTTTATTATTTTATGTCCAAATATAAAAAATGCCAAAAAAATATTTTTATATTTTTTTACATTTATTTGGTATTTATTTTTATTTTTACTAGTATAAAATGTATAAATACTTTATATTCTTTTATTAAAACTTAAAAATAAAGTAAAAAAAAATATGTTTATTTTCATTTATTATTTTATACACATTTGAAAATATTTTCTTGAAATATATACATTTTTTGTAAATAATTTATTTTTATTTTTATACACTTAATATATTTAATACACATATATATACATATACTATATTTTATTAAATAATTAGAACAAAAAACACAAAAATAATACATTTTTATTTTTATTAATATTTTATACTAAAAATACCTTTTTTTCAATATACTTTTATTTTTTGTACAAATTGATACATTATTGTATATAAATAATAAATAATACTATTTATTTAAGAAATTAGGGTTTTTGCCATAAAACATAAAAAAATAATTGAAATTGCCTTTTTATTTATTTACACTTCACATTAAAAATACTTTTTACATACATAAAAACTTTTTTTGCATAATACATTTTATTTAATTATTTATTTATTGTATTCATTTAAATATTGTACATTTAATTGTTATGCCTTATACATTCAATTTGGTTGTAATAATTTAGAATTTAATTTCTTGCAAAATAATTCCAAATTCAAATTTGTACCCCCCACCCTATATCATGTTGTAATAGTGTAGAATTTAAATTCTCGTACTTTTTAAGCTTTCGAATTATGCCATGATTAGACTTAGGGTTTGTATGCAAAAATCAAATTAACAAATAATTTGACCTAATCCAAGATAAAAATACATGAAAAAACAAACACAATGCACACTTGCACCCCTAGGGTTACAATCCACTTGTTGTCTTCAAAAAAGGGCCATGGTATGCATGTCAAGTATTTTGGCAAAACAAAGATCATAGTCCCTCGATGACGCTATTTGAGTTTCCTAAACAAAATGATCAAGTCCCTCAAGAAAATTGCCAAAAATACTTGACACAATTGCTATCATGGTCTATACGATGACCCGCGCCTGTCCTGTTTAACATCCTAACACAAGGTTGTTCATCAAATACAATGGTGAAACAACACTGTTAAAAGGGTTAAAAACATAAGAAAGATCTTTGAGTAAAATATGGTAGACTACTCTTAGTTACTTGATCAAAACTTGCACACAAAAAAACATCCTTGCTATCTTTAAAACACACTTCACAACACAAATTTCAAAACCCTACTTTCAAAACATTGAAAACTTTTCAAAAGACAAAAACACCTTTGTATACATTCAAACAAGAATCATTACAAAGGTTGCTACAACGATGGCCTCTTTTCAAAACATCTTTCAAAACCACACACAAAGCACCATTTCAAACAATTGAAAAGCAAAGCAAGTGATCTAAACAAGTAACTAAGAGCCCATGGATAACCATGGATGAAAAGGGTGCTAATACCTTCCCTTTTCATAATCAACTCCCTGAACCCAAGAAAACATCTCAAAGGTCTTTCCTATGCTTTTTGACCTTTCCTTAGGATAAAATAAAAAGTCGGTGGCGACTCTTGCTAAACCGAAACATTTGCGAACACAAACGCAAAACCTCAAGTCAGTTCTCCCACCGTATCACAGCCATCAATTGACTTATCTCACTGAATGAAGTCAACACCGCACTTTATTGTTTCCAAAGGGAAATAGGAAAAAAGCGAACAAAACCCACAATGAAGTAAAAGATCAGAGATCGAGGTACATGGGTCGGTTATGCAAAGGGAAGGTATTAGCACCCTAAGCACCTACGGTACTCCACAAGATCCAATTTGTTTGTTTTCTTTTAAAAGGTGTGTTATCTAAAGGCTTACTTGCTAAAGGAAAAGAATGAATGAGTATTTGCAAACAAAAGAAAATAAAATATTTTTTATTATTTTTGCTCACCTTGGGTTGTAAGAATTAGTGCCTACGTACTCCCTCGTGCAATGGGAAAGTCAGAGCATCGTAGTTTGGCTTGAAAATACTTGTCTGTTGGATGATTTTAAACGAAGAGACAAGTCGTAATTTTTAGGAGAGAAATCTTGACTAATGCACACAAGGTGTGGGAAAGATGGATCATGCATCAACATGAGTGAGGGTTTGAGAACGCCTCTAGTACTCAAGTGGGAAATTCGACACCTTTATAACCATGGGGATACGAGAATGTTGCTCGACTATAAATGAATCGTGTCTAATCTTGAAAACATTTTGAAGGATAAAAGGTGCTCAAGCGCACAAAAAGGTTTGAATGAGTTGAAGTGTTTTTTGTTAATTTTGAAAGATGTCAAAGTATGATTAAATGAATTGAAGTTTGTTTAAAGAAAAGGCACTCGACAAAGTCGAAGTTTATTATGAAAGTGGTTCGAGTTTATAAACAAAGAAGATTTTGAAAAAGATGAGAAGGTTTTGAAAATCAAAGAATGGGAGAAGAAATGAAGAGAGTGTCCTATGTACAGGAGGGTAAAAGATAAGGTAAAGAGAATTTGAGCAAATAAGAAACCAGTACTTGACATGATAAAGTCAATACCGTATTCTCATCCCTTTGGGTTTAAAGCCACAGATAGATAAAGAAGCTAAGAGTATACCAAACCTCAGGTGAAAATAAATCACAAGACGACAGCATCAAAGAAACCCAAATGTCAGATAATACTCCAAGCATCAGATACAGCACGTGAAAATAAATCACGAACGAAGAAAGCATTGATCATGACAGGAATCAGATAAAGCGCAAGGGTGATGTATAAAGCTCACGGTACCGGATAAGGCTCGAGATATCAAATAAGGCTCACGATATCAGATAAGAAACCCTGTATCACATGAAATATACAGACAAATCCAACAACACGGGGAAACTTATTTAAAGCTTAAGTGTGAATTACTTAACATTGCACTTGGTTAAGTACATTCATGTAGGAATCAACTCCAAATGATCTAGGAAAATTATATGCGTCCATACGATTTTCAAAAGTTAACTTGAATTAAAATTCAAAATCGCGGCGCAATAGAAATAATATTTACATAACCTAAATTTATTTACAAGTGAATAGAATAAAACATAAAATCAAAAGTATTATGTACAATTATATATTTACATTAATAACTATTAAATTAAAATAGTAAAATAAAATACAATGAAAAGGGAATGAAGAAAAATTATGGATGTGCTATGCGAGAATGAATGCTTGAAGCAATTCTTGGAAACCTTCACAATAACAAACTCATTAGTAGCATGAGAGGGATAAAAATAAAACCAAATGAAATTGCAACAATTAGAAAATGTATTAGTAATCACAAGGAAACTAAACCAAAGAAACTCGTGCTATTATTCAATCCAAAATCGAAATATAGAAAGTTGATTTCGAAACAAGCTAAGATCAAACAAATCAAATCAGGGCAGCCATGAATATGAACTAATAAATCTCAAAAATTCAACTTACATCAAACGAACGCTACCCAAAAAACATTATTATTGCAACCAAGATTTCATCGTTTGAATTCTAAACAAAACATAATCGAAACAACATCAATTATTCACTTGAATCGGTTCAAATCAACATGACATGAAATTAAATTTAAAAACCAAGATTTAACAAATAAATTGAATTCCAGGCAACAACTATATGAACGAAATTTTGCTCCCAAAACTTATACAAAAAGTGCTCAACTGCAATCAAAGAACCAAAGATATCAAATCCACCTTTCTCATTCTGATTCAGTATTGCAACATGCTTCTATGAATCAAAAATGTCTTATACAAACCATTGACAAAATGAATTTTTGAATCAAGCAATGCCATCCAACTATTAAACCCAGGGCAGCTACAACTAAATCGACTATACTCCAGATTAAAAAGACTTTCTCGCTCAAATCATACAAAGGAAACAACATGTTATCCTCAATAGTTTCTCGGTCAAATTTAAACACAAATAAATGCGACATTATCTTCACCTTCATCGAAACTAAATCTCAATTATCATTCACTCACAATTAGAATCAAGCAAAGAGATGCCATCACTCAAATTTTAGGCATAAAAACACGGCATCACAAGCGAATTTCACCTCATTTTGACATTAAGAACTTTTCCGATTTATCCCGGACAGCATAACAGTAACAAATTCTCCTTCACGACTTAATAGGAACAAACCGAAATTTTCATACAAGCTTTAACATGAAACAAACTTTGCAATCCTATTCAAACTATATCCAACACGAACAACAACATTGTAACACTATCCAATCTATTTTCCAGAATTATACACTACGAATTTCAACAGACAACATAACGTTTACAATCCAATTAGGCCATTTTCTATAGATTTTATAACAAATATTTCACAGCAAAACACTCACTAGTTCAAATCAAAATCAAATACTAACACAGGAAGCAATCCAATATCAAACTGAACATATTTATAGGTAAAGCACATATAATTTATCAGTATAACAACCATCTCAACCTGTCAAGCATAGAAGTGGCAGAGGGAATCAAACAAAGACTTACATCTGAGACAGAGAGAAGTAGCAGACATTGCGATACTGAGACAGAGCGGAGTTGCTGGAACAGTAACTCGCGGCTGGTTTGCTGTTGTTGGAGGATGTTGAAATAGAATGTGACAGTTGAACATAAGGCGAATGTTGTTGGGAGTAATAGGAGGCTGACAGATGATGATTGAGAAGAAATAGAGTCATATGCATAGGAAGACTGGCAGTTTGGATTGTTGATGATGTTGCACGGTTTCCAAACAGAGGGAGTTTTGAGCGGATGGATTGAAGGTTTTTACGGCGGAAGGCTTGATAATAGAATCAGAGGGAGATCATGTTTTTGGGAGGTGGGTTGCAAGTATGGGAACGAATTGAGAAGACAGAGGGAAATTGGCGCGGTAATTAGAAAGTTGGTGAGGATGGATTTGAAAAGAGGAACAGGTGAAGTGACCGGACAACTAGCAGAGGTAGGAGAGTGTATTGATGAGATTGTAGATATGGTGAGAGGGTTTATGTTGTGTGTTTAAAAAAGAAAAAATGAGGCTCATATATAGAAAGCTGAAGAGGAAAATGCAATTTCTGATTTGCAATTTCGTTCGCTATTATTTTTTCTCTAATTTGTATCGATCCTGCACTTTTTCTTACAACCAATCAAAACAAAGCTTAGTTTAACAAAAAAAAATTATGCCCAAAAAGCCCTATAATGATAAAAAAGACGTAAAAATCTAAAAGATTAACAAATAATACACTTAAATTTTTTTTTTGAATAAAAAAGAGACCCAAAATGACTAAAAACGGTTTAAAAAATAGACATTAACCTATTCGAAAAAATGAAATGAACACATTAAAATAAAATACATGTCACAAAGATTAATAAAAAATTACACAAATAGTCAAAATCGAAATAAAATGAGAATAAAATTGTCAGGTTAAACAAACGCTTACGATTAAAAACGAGACTTAAAACTGTACCGAAAAAATAAAGTGAACATACCTTCATGATCTACGTGAAACGTAGATTCACAAAATGATCAGTAAAAGGTGAAAACTTGAAATATTTTCTCGCTAATTTTCTGCACAGTGTCGAATCGCTTTTAATAGTCTGTCTGTAAAACTGAAATATTAATATTATCGACATATAAACAACTTGGAGCAATGCAAGAAACAAGTAAAGAGATAAAAATGCATGAAGTGAAATATCAAGTATTTTTCAACTACAAAATGATGCAAACGTCGATTTAAACTGAGTTTTGGTCAACTTAAATACGACTAAATGCTACAAATGTGATGAATGAAGATATTTATTGATGATTGCGACCAAATAACAAAATACGATATGGAAGTGCGACTAAAAAAAATTAGGGGCGAAATTTAGGGTGCAACAACTGCCCCTATTTAATTATCTTTTAGCCAGATAGGTGGAAAGTAATTAAACATAAACAGACCTGAATTTCGTCTCTGATGCGATGAGATGATAGCATATATTATGAATGAATGCAAAGAATCAAGACACAATTTGGAGAAATGTGAAATAAAATATTTGTGGTAGATTGAAAGAAATGACGTGGAAAGACACGCTATGGAATACAAGGTATTCTGGATATCCGTCAGTGTTACAAGGAGTAACCATAAATACTTGAGAAAGGGAGACAAACCCTGAAAAGGCAAGCAGCGGAATCTAAGAATGGAATTGAATGAGGCGAGCAACTCTCTGGAAAAAACAATCAAAAGCATCTAGAAGAACATTAGATGTGGGATGAGACCAGATATGAAGCTACGTCAGAGTCATCCAGGAAAGACGCTGGACGGAGAAGAAACACAACATCCAATAACCTACTTTGGATGAAGGGAAAACTTAACGTCTAATAATTGGCTTTAGACGAGAGAAAAGATCAAAACATCCAATGATTTGCTTTGAAGGAGATAAGAAAAATAACCATGACATTCAATAATTGGCTTTGGATGAAGGATGACCACAACGTTCAATTATTTTCTTTGAATGAAGGGAAAAGGAATGATATCGAATAATTGGCTTTGGACAACAACAAAGATCATGACAACCAATATTGGCTTTGGATGAAAGCAAAAGATCACGGCATCCAATATTGGCTTTGGATGGAAGAAAAGATCATGGCATCCAATATTGGCTTTGGATGGAAGCAAAAGATCATGGCATCCAATATTGGATTCAATAACAACAAAGATCACGGAATCCAATTTTGGCTTTGGATGGAAGCAAAAGATCACGACATCCAATATTGGCTTTGGATGAAAGAATAGATCATGACATCCAATATTGGCTTTGGATGAAAGAAAATATCATGACATCCAATATTGACTTTGGATGAAAGCAAAAGATCACGGCATTCAATATTGACATTGGATGAAAGAAAAGATCATGACATCCAATATTGGCTTTGGATGGCATGGAGAAACATGATATCCAAGATTAGCATTGGTTGAAAGTGAAAAGTAGCACACCCAATATTAGCATTGGATAGAAAAGAAAAACAACAATAAATCAAATATTAGCTTTGGAATAGAAATAGCACACCCAATATTAGCTTTGGACGAAAAAGAGAAAATGGTAATAAACCCAATATTAGCTTTGGAATAGAAACAACACACTCAATATTAGCTTTGGATGAAAAAGAGAAACAACATATCCAAGATTAGCATTAGATGGAAAGAAAGACAGCTCATTCAAGATTAGCATCGGACGAAGGAGAGAAACAACTCATCCAAGATAAGAATTTGACGAAAAAGAGAAACAACTCATCCAAGATTAGCATTGGACGAAAGGGAGAAGCAACTCATCCAAGATTAGAATTGGACAAAAGAGAGAAAAAAAACATCCAATATTAGCGTTGGACGAAAGAGAGGAACAGACGAACTGACATCTGCTTTGGTAGGTTCCAAGTAAATTGGGCTTTGATCTCAAGGTGACATGTCGACTGCAACAATACCTCGGGAAATGAAAATGAGGATGAAACACTCTTGTTATGCATTATATATGAATTTTGTTATGCATGATATATGAATGATATATGAATGATCTATGCATGTAATGCAGACGTTTACGACAATGGAGTTTGACTCTTTTGTTGAGGTAAGATTGGAAGTTTGATTCCTTAACACGAAGAAATCTGCCAAATTTTCTAGGAAATAAAATGTCTTGAAACCATATTTGTCACACTTGTAAATTGTATTGAACTGATGATCTTTTGAGGAAGGACATGGAGAGCTGCTTGGGGATTTGTCCCATATTAGTTGACTGTTGAGAATAAACTAATCATGGATTTAGTTCTTGAAATGACTATTAAAAAGGAATGCTCCAGTATGAGCCTTGAATTGATCTTTTGGCTAACCAATTATGAGAAAACTCGCACTGATCAACAAATCTTGAACTGATTCACAACTGGATCTAGAAGATACTTGCCCCTGATTGGATCACTGACCAAGTTTCTTAGCTGTTTGAAACTCCTTGTCGAGGAAAGCTTGTTTGCAAGCAAAAATTGTTCATTCAACATGGTAATTTTAAAGCAAAATTTTCATGCAAAAGTTTTGAATTCAAAATCATTTTTGAAATGATATTATTGGTGTATAGAAAATGCATCACTGGTCAAATCACAATGGTTTATACTTTTAAAGTGAAAGAGAAAGCAAAGGCATGGAAATACCAAGACAAATGATTTGAAAAAGATCTTAGGAGTCAGTTTACGCAACCTTGTTGTAGTATGCTTTCAAAAGTAATCTGGATTCAATTAGGTCTTTTGAGGGTTGTAACGTGGTTTGGTTCACGGTTTAAGAAATAAAGGATAAAGGCTCAAAGTTTATTTGTACGCAACCCAATCTTTGTGATTTTCTTCAGTCCTACGCTCAGTTAATTCAAACTATGCATTCAGGTTCCAAGAGATTTTGGAATTGAACTGATGGTAGAAATGGCGATGATTCAGAAACCAAGGAATTTTTAGAATGGCAGTCACTTCTTCTTTAAACATTTTGTTCTTTTGAGGAATTTTGTCAACTTTGGTGGGGAATTTTGAGGATTTGAAGACCTCTTCTGATTGAATTTATTATTCCCAACTTTTGCCTGAACTGTCCCATTTGAGATTACAATCAACTGGATGCCCTAGTTTTTTGCATACGTCTCCTTCATAGGTTTTGACTTAACGTTTTTTTTTATTTTTCTTTTCATTTCATTTTTCTTTTTGTAAAGATAATGACTATCTTGCTTAAAGATTACGGGGAACCATCATCGTCACTTTTGATTTTAGACATCTTTGAACCTTCTTGTTGTGTGCGGAGCAAAGCTTGATTGCAAACTTTATTGAAAGGTGTCTTGCACGATTTCTCTTGTAATTGAATGCACAGCCAAATTAACTGAGAACTACCCATCCCCAGTTTAAGATTACAGGTTTTTTCGTATAGAAAGAAACTCCAACTTCTAGGCTCAAAGGGGTTGACAAGGGATTAACTTTCTTATTTCTCCAATGTTTGGGAGTTGAAACAATGCATGTACATCCTGAGCAAAGTTTTATTCGAAAGCATACCAACAATAATTATGGGTATTTCGTTTTCATCATGCTCCCTCAAATCTTTGCATAAACAAAAGCTCGATAAAGAGAGTAAACAAGAGAAATATATTTGAAAGAAGTAAATGAAAATGATTTGGAATAAAATATTGCAATGCTCATTTCATTAAAATTAACATGGAAGTACAAACAAAATTCGAAAGCAACAATTTTAACATAAACAAGGGGAAAATGCAAATAGAAAGAAAAATGGCCTAGTGACTAATCAGTAACAAGGATGAGATGTCCTGTCTAAAACACTGGCTTTATGAAGTGACTTGGGGGTACTCCGACTCATTCTTCAGCCACTTTGTTTTGGAAAAGGATTATTGATATCATTAGGACCTGTCTCTTTGAAGGTGATAATATTTGCTTTCATCAATTCTTGCACTTTGTTTTTCAATGCGTAGCAGCTTTCTAAATCATGACCGATAACTTCCTGATGAAACTCAAAGTAAAGGTCCTGAACCCGGCTGGAGGAGGATCTCGAGGAATCAGAGGCCTAGTTGTAATCAAGCCCTTATGCACCATTGCATGATACAATTCAGTGTATGTCATAGGGATGGGATCAAATTGACCCATATTCCCTACATTACGATTCTGATTCTGCGTAATATTTTGTCGTTGGGGAACCTGAATTGGTTCAGTATTGACCACGGGAGAAATAACCGCTACTTGTGCTTGATCAATGCATTGAGGCCTACGGAGGGATCCTCTTCTCTCAGTCGAGACAGCATTGGCTTCTACATATTTCTTCTTCTGAAAGTTCCCAAAGCATTTCTTTTCACCATTAGAATATTCAGCAGCTTTAGACACTTCATTCTTCTAATCTTTGGCCAATAGTCACCAGTCTGTGAAGTTGGAGGACACATTACCAATCATCTTCTCCCAAAAGAAAGGGGACAAATTATCCACGAACAATCCAGTTAGCTCTTTCTCTGCCAGAGGTGGTT